TTGTTTACTGCATATTTTATTCACAACTTTCGATTTTCAGGTGTTAAAGCTTGACCTGAAATCTGTTGCTCCCTCTGTGTCAGGACCTAAACGTCCTCACGATCGTGTTGACTTGTCATCACTGCATGAAGATTTCAAAAATGGCCTAACTGCTAAGATCTCCTTCAAAGTGAGTTTGGCGGGGATTTCCCTTCTCGTGATCTCGATCACTTTCTCTCAACTCGCATAAAGTTCGCGTTGTTCACATAGCTACGTGCTCACACATGGTCGTTAATTAAATCGACTTTTTTGTATAACAGGTGTGAAGCGACTAGCTTTTTCGGGCACTGCAAGGTTGGAATACGAGTCCTACAACTCTTTCATTTCAGTTTTCCTTTTTTTATGCAGAAAATTGGTCGCTAGAAGCAAATAATGACATAAAGGATAAAGCATTTGCCGTTGATCAATCCCTTTTTGGGATGCGGCACGCATTCTACTTCCATTTGTACATTCGTAGTGGCGTTTGAATGCGATGTGGCAATGACTTGCGGGGCCAGCCGATGTACAAGTCAGTGTTTTTATCCTCCCAGACAAGTCTGGTACCAATGAACGGTGACTTTTTCCTGAGGTCAGGTTACCAGAGCTGCGCGGTGATTGAGGCCTAAGGGTGGGCTCAGGCTTGGGCTCAGGCTTAGGCTTTACGGTGGCTTATGCTTGAAGCTTAGTTAGGGTTAGGCTTAGTCTTAACCTTATTGCGAGCAAACCAGGCGTGTACCTTTCTGCGGTGACCTGAGCTTGCTACTACCCTATTTCCGCCCTGTAGAATGATGGTAGATATTCTTGCGGGTTCTCCCTCGAAGTGGACAAGGGCGCCACATTCAGTTAATGTCACTTCGAGAAAAAACTCAGCCACTTTTCATTCTATTCTGCAAGGCATTGTTTCGAGGAATATTTCCATTTTATGGCTTCACCACAGGAACCAACAGCGTGCAGTACGTTCAGTGAGCGTTTCGTTCCTTGTTGTAGCGTATTCCACCTGCACCAACGCTTTCGATATGAATATTCTTTCAGATCAAGGATCGGACTCTTTTTATTGTAACGATTTCCAGGGAATTTACCAAAAATCTCTGAACATCGGCATCATTGTGGTGGAAGAGATCTCAACTTCAGAAGTTGTCACAAACGCCCGTGACGCTACAATTTTCCCCACATTGCGCATCACTTATCGCGGGGGCATTCGAGAGATTCCGAATATGACTAAAGAGCTGCTGCTCCGCCCAACGTATGGCCATGTACCAAACGGATGTCCTAGTCTAAAGTCATCGTCTTTGTTTCAAACAAAATTCGACGATTACTTCAATTCGAGACCTTTTCGATTGCTATTTTGACTTGCAGACGCTTACATTCCGATAAAGCAGTGAGAAGTCATCTGAGCGTTGTGGCGAAGATGGCATAGATGTTAAAATCAGATGGGAAAAAGCGTTGCAGAGCTTGTCTTCCAACCTCATACATTACTTAATGTGCCGGTCATTTAAAGCAATGATTTCTCCCCTATAGTTTTCGAAACGCATTTCTCAGTATCATCCATTTCATATTAGGGGTTTGGATTGAAGCCGGAGGATGTCAGCAAGACAGTCATGATAACCAATAAAGGCAGATCTGCAGCCCTTACTCATGGTTCTGTTGTGATTGCTGCAATAACATCTTGCACAAATACAAGTAACCCAAGCGTGATGCTTGCCGCCGGACTTGTAGCCAAGAAGGCAAGTTTTTCGTGGAACGTTTGGAATAATCCTTCTTGTGATAGTAAATTTTGATTTTCTCACTTCATTCGATTGTTTCTGACGTTACAACTTTTAGGCCGTAGAACTTGGACTGGAATCTCAACCGTTTACGAAAACTTCTCTTTCGCCTGGGTCTGGGGTTGTGACCAAGTACCTTGAAGTTTCTGGTCTTCTTCCCTTCCTTCAGCAGCTTGGTTTCCACATTGCCGGATATGGTTGTATGACATGCATCGGAAATTCTGGCCCGCTTGACGAAGAGGTTGCTAAAGCCATTGAAGAGGTTTGATTTTGTTGTTTTCCATGATCTCCATATATCTATTACATTTTTAAATTGTACTTCAAAACTGTTAACTTTACTGAGAAACTACACGGGATACGAACGGCTGCTCATTGCATTTTGGTCGAGTGGAAAATCTGTTTGATTGCCTTGATTTTGACGTTATTTTTGAATTAGTGACATTTTCAGAATAACCTCGTCGTCGCTGGAGTACTCTCCGGCAACCGAAACTTCGAGGGTCGTATTCATCCACATGTTCGAGCCAATTACCTCGCAAGTCCTCCTCTTGCAGTTGTCTACTCCATACTTGAAATGTGAATAAGGGATATCGAAGTGGAGTGATCGGTCTAGCATTATTGTCGGTTTGGAGGTGTTTAGGGAGGAAATAATAGCAGAAGCGGTTGTGCTATTCCCTTCAGCACACTACACGGACGGGAGGCGACGTGGTATTAAAGGACATTGGCCAAACGGAAGAAGTTGCTTACATGATTGAAGGAAGAGTTTGTGAGCAGTCAGTTCTTCAACGAGGTGTCTCTATATTGAGTTTTGTAGTAAAATTTCAGTGATATTTTTGTTGTCAGGTGTATGCCAACATCGAAAGGGATCGGAACAATGGCAGAAACTAGTGACGCCGTCAACCAAACTGTACCCATGGGACAAGGAGAGCACCTACATCAAAAAAGCACCATTTTTTGATGACAATGGTAATTTTTAATATCAAAGAGTTCCTCGAGCACCACTTTTTGTTTTATTTCAAGCATCCATTCCCGAAAAATGCTCGAAGGCGATGATCGAAATACTCATGGTCAGATCTGCTCATATTTCTAACCGAAACTGTATCCGGCAGAAATCCTGTTTGCTCCGAGTCAGCTCATTTAGCAAATGATTCCAAGGTTATTGAAGGGTAGTAATCTAGGCGTACCCGACAAGGGCCGTTCGGGTGGTAAGAAAGCGAGTCAGCAGCCGAGGACCACGCGCGTACGTACTGTCTTGCGTTAATGTGAGACATGTACCTTTACGCGCCCTACAGGCGCATGCTGGCGTCTGCGACTCGTCCCGACTCTCCTTCTTGCCGCCGATGCTCCGTTGCAGGTATCCGGTTCTGACCCAAAGCTCAAGGTCTTGCGCGAAGATTTGACAGTGAATTTTGGAGGTCGAGGTTAGTGCATTCCTCTCTTCAAGATTCTGACCCTTCTCCGACAATTTTTTTTTGGCAGCTTATCTATAGTCAACCGCTCCATTTGCTGATTGCACACTTCACGTCTAATGCAAAGGCGCCATTGGTTTTAGTGAATTTTGGTAAGAAGGTCAAAAACGTGGGCTCCTAAAAGATAAATAAGTAAAGCTATGGTCCGTCTCCGGCTATTGAGCCGTTCTGTTGCGTCGATCTTTTCACCCTCAAACCCCGAATCCCGATCCCCACAAAAGCTGGTGCCAGATGACATTTAGTTCCTCTACGTCAAGAACGAGTAGATCTGCTTTCCACAAGGGGTGGATCCGCATGTGAAATCATGAGCCGAACTTTATCTAGAAGGTGTCAGCTAACTCGGAGCGATTTCTATACTGTGGTGAACTCCGAAGAACTCAAGACAGGCATTTACGCACCTACCTACAACATCGGCGTCCAACTTTCGGTCATGCGATAGGAAGAAAGCAAGTGATCGGGAATAGCTTTCATCTACATATTCAAGATCAACCGACATTCGTCCTCGACTCACTGAGTTCAAGTTGCAGGAGCTTGTCTGGATATCCCTTTCCATCCACCTTTTTCTTACATGGTCGCTCGTAGAGCATGTAGATGCAGCTCAGACTGCTCCATACCCAGAAAAATCCACTGGTTTTGATGAATTCGACTGATTATCATCTTCGATTGAAAATTTCGATCCGCATCTGCCTTCGTTTTCGAACGGATTCGCTGATTCTGCCATTCAACGAATGGCTTTGAGTCAAAGTTTGCCTAAAGTTGTAAAGAACTTACAACAGGTGAAGTGGGTTTTTCGCAATGCCCTACTGCGATATATGCGAGAAAAGGAAGCTTTTTATAAACTATCGTAATTCCTTTCTCAGTAGAAAGTTGCATATTTGTTGAAATGTAAAAATGTAAAAAGAAATGTAAAATATCCACCCTCTGATTGCGTGGTTCGGTACACGGTAGGGCAAAACCGAGTGATCGAGCAGGCAGCATAAGTGGCTATTTTTATGCTAGAACATCATAATTTTTTAAGGGTTGTTCGCTATAACTAATAATTTCAGACCATTGATCTTCCGCACCAATCGTCCATATCTGACGCTTTTGTGTTGTTGAACTTGGGTGATTCGGTCACCACAGATCACATCTCGCCGGCTGGTTCCATTTCCAAGGTCTGAGCTTACAATTAGGCAAATAGCAACGTGTGTTTCAGAATTCTGTTTTTATTAGCTTTCGCCTGCTGCTCGATATTTGGCCTCGAGAGGACTCTCTCCCAAGGATTTCAAT